AAATGCTAAAGCAAATGGCCTGCTCTACAGAAGTTTGCCCAGAAATATTCTCTACAAGGTATCCGCTTGCATCTTTGCCCATGATATATGGAGGACCTTGGAAGGTGATTTTGGAGATGAAAACATTGAACTGGCGTTGATGGAAATTGAATAAAGCCAAACAAAAGAAGAAGTGATTGGAATGATGGCCACGAGTGATTCAGAGGATGATGATGAAGCAAATCAGGTAAGTATCTATAACTTGAAAGAAAACATTCATGTTATGTCTAAAAAATAACTTATGGACATAATTGTGACCATGATGAGTGAAATAGACAAAATGAGTGCTGGAAATGATTAAATTTTCATATGATAAACTTGATCTCAAAGAACTTGAATCTGATAAAGCTGATCTTGAAGGACATGTCAAAGACGTTAAGAACCAAGTTCTTGAGTTCACTTTTAAAAATGAGAAGTCACCTGATTCACATGGTAAGAGAAAGATGAGTGATCTACAAGATAAGCTTGGAAAGGAGCTAAAAAAGGCTAAATATAATCTTTATGATGCGGAATGTAGGAATAAAGTTCTGCAAATAAATCTAGAAAAGGCTAATTATGAACTATCTAGGCTAAACTTCCAAGATATATATTAGAATATCACTTTCAAGAACAGTTAAACTTCCAACCTCTACCTCTATTTGTCTTGCAAGCAAAATAAAAAAGTCAGCAACTATATCTATCTATATATAGAGCACACCTAGAGATAAACTGAAAGGGCTCTCTATTCATCCCCCTTCTTAAACTCAAGAGCACTCCCCCTGCAAGGACAAAAATATCTTTGTGATGAACAGAGATAAGAAATTTGTACAAACAATAGTTTGTACATAAACCTGCATAAAAAAGAGAAGGGAAAGGGGCCTTAATTATACATGAAACCTGCATTCATCCATTGCTAATAATATATATTCGAATATATATTTTTAAAAAAAAATAGAAACAATGTAAGCCGAAAATATAAAAGAACAGAATTAATCCGAGCCCACTGAATTCACAGTATTTCCTTGAGGAACTTAATTCCCTCCTAGTACCCGAGGTTTAGGATTATTTTCTCTCAGATATAATGGATAACCTCACTAGTGTAGCGGTACTTCAAACCCCAGTGACAACGAATGCAACGGGCAGTAGTAAATCACACTTACTGCTCTCTTTTCTATTAAAATAATGCAGAAAGAAGAAGGAGAAATCAGAATTTTCGTAAGGAAAATCTGAGGGAATAGTATGCTATTTATAGCCAACATGTTGAGTTTAAACGAAGAGGCGCAACTCTTCAGAATGTCTGTTATGACTGTTCACGTAAAATGACCATTATGTAAATGGCTATTTAAGCAAAATAAAACGGGAAATCAAAACGTGGAGGAAAATTAATTTACCGTTACAAAAACGGCTAATTTGGATTAAAATAATGTTACTTTAATCTTAATATTTACAAATAAATTTGGTCCAAAAAATTAATCAATCATTTATTTGACCAAAACTGAAGCGGAGCCGAGCGAACGAGCGAGCGACGACGACGGCGCAAGGCTTGCCTTCTTCTTAACTCTTTAAGATCTAGAAGAAGAGAAATTGTATATATACCCATCAAAAGTCTTTTCCTCCTCCAATATTGGACAATGTCCCTTTGTCAAGAAGGAAAAATCAAAATTTTATTTTTCCCTCCATTTCCCATTCACCCTTTTTTAAGCTCTAAGAAGCTTAAACCCAACAATCCCCCACATGAATGGGGAATGGCTATATCACGGAAATATGCATAAAAAACTGTGTGATTTACAAGCATGGATTAATTGCATCTACATAAGTAGGTTTCCCTTTGAACTTTCCGTAGTGAACTTATATCGGATATACTCGATCAATCGGTAGATTTTATATCTTTGAATCGTCAAACTTTGGTGTATACTTAGAAAACCATAAGTCAAGCAACCAACCCTTAACTGTCTTTGGTTCTCATTGTTGTATTCGTTTCAGCCATGAACACTGCTTCGTTTAATAAATGCATAGAGAACTGGCCTTACACAATTCTTCTTGATGCGGCTAACACTTCCCACTTACATAGGTGATTCATAAACGTGCCATCCTGTAGATACACTTTTTGATATATCTCGTATAAAATTTAGAAACCATTAAAAAGCCTTAATACTTTATCCTTAGTATTGAACATTGTATCATCACGAGAATGGACCAAAATATTTAGTTGACAATGTTGAACCGTCATTAATGACTTTGTTTAATCTCCTTGAACCTAGATTTTGGGATCTCCAGTCTTCTAGGTAGAGTTACCGCCACAATGACTTATCTTCGACCATGATCCTATTCCCCTCGATAATCTTTCAACTACCTCTCTCATTAGGCCTTTTGTAAGTGGATCTGACACACTGTCCCTTGACTTTACGTAGTCAATTGTGATGATCCCCCTATAGAGTAGCTACCTAATGATTTTATGTCTTCATCGTATATGATGAGATTTACCGTTACACATAACGCTCTCAGTCCTTCCAATTGCCGCTTGACTATCGCAATGTATGCATATTGGTGCCAACGGTTTGGGCCGAAATGGAATATTTTCCAAGAAATTCCGGAGCCATTCAGCTTCTTCACCAAGCTTTATCTAAGGCTATAAATTCAGCCTCTATTATAGAGCGGGCAATACATATTTGCTTGGATGACTTCCAAGATCCCGCTCCTCCACCAAACGTGAATACATATCCACTTGTAGACTTAGAATCAGTTGAACTGGTGACCCAATTTGCATCACAGTACCCCTCAATCACCACAGGATAATTAATGTAGTGCAAAGCAAAGTCTTGGGTATGTTTTAGATATGCCAAAACTTTTTTCATCCCCATCCAATGAGATTGACCTAGATTACTCATGTATCGACTCAATTTACCTATAGCACAAGCTATATCTGGTCGAGTACAATTCATGGTATACATTAAACATCCCAGCACATGAGCATAATCCAACTGTGATATGCTTTGGACTTTGTTCTTTGCAAGTGCAAGATTCACGTCAATTAGAGTCTTTGAAACTTTAAAATCTAAGTACTTGAATTTTTCAAGTATTGTTTTAATGTAATGAAATTTCGACAATGCCAGACCTTGAGCAGTTTTATGGATCTTAATACCCAAAATTAAATTGGCAACTCCCAAGTCTTTCATATCAAACTTGCTAGTTAGCATACACTTAGTCGCATTTATGTTGGCAATGTCATTACTCATTATAAGCATATAACACACATATAAGGAAACAATGACTATGTGATTTGTAACATTTTTAATGTAAACACATTTATCACATTTATCTTAAAACCATTTAACAAGATTGTTTGGTCAAATTTCATATGCTATTGTTTGGGTGCTTATTTTAGTCCGTAAACCAACTTAACAATTCTATATACCTTCTTTTCTTTACCTGAAACCATATACCCTTCTTGTTGTTCTATGTAAATTTTTTCCTCTAAATCTCCATTTAAGAAAGTTATTTTAATGCCATTTGATGAATTTCAAGATCATATACCACAACTAATACTACTAATATTCGTATTGAGGTAATATTTGTAATTAGAGAGTATGTATAAAAATAGTCAAGACCTTCTCATTGTATATAACTTTTGACCGCATGTCTTTCCTTATATTTGTCAATAGTACTATCATATTTTATTTTTCTATTAAAAATCCATTTAGAACCTAATGGTTTATTTCCTTGAGGAAGATCAACCAATTCCATGTATGGTTGTTTAGTACGAATTCTATTTCACTATTGACTGCCTATTTCCAAAATAATTATTCAGTAGAAGACATAGCTTCTTTAAATGTTCGAGGCTCATTTTCTAATAAGAAAGTCACAAAGTCTTGTACAAATAAAGTAGATGTTCTTTGACGTTTACTACGTCTTGGATCCTCCTGATTATACGTACTTTTTTTTTTCTCCCGGGGTCGTTTAGATCCTTCACTAATCGACTCACATTCCTTTCTATACGGATATATATTTTCAAAAAATTCTACATTATCTGATTCTATGACTGCATTATTATGAATATCGGGATTTTCTAATTTGTGAACCAGAAATTGATATGTTTTACTATTTGTTGCATATCCTATGAAAATACAATCAACGATTTTTGGTCCTTTTTTTACCCTTTTGGGTTAAGTAACTTGCACTTTTGTCAAATACCCCCACACTTTAAAATAATTCAAGTTGGGCTTCCTTCCTTTCCATTTTTTATATGGAATGGATTGCGTTTTGCTATGGGGTACTCGATATAGTATTCGGTTAGCCGTAAGAATAGCTCCTCCCCCCACAAGTTATGTGGCAAACTAGAACCTATCAACAAAGCATTCATCATCTCCTTTAATGATCGATTCTTTCTTTGCACAATCCCATTGGATTGGGGTGTGTAAGGGGCCATTGTTTGATGAATAATTCCATATTTAAATATATCTCTTCAAAAGGAGATTTGTATTCACCACCCCTATCACTTCTTATCATTTTGATTTTCTTATTAAGTTATGTTTCAACTTCATTTTCATACTGCTTGAATGTATCTATTGCTTTATCTTTACTACTAAGTAAACATAGCAATATCAAGTATTATCGTCAATAAAAGTTATGAAATACTTCTTTCCACGACGGGATCGTATTGACTTCATGTTGCAAATATCTGTGTGAATTAAGTCTAAATGATTTGAATTCCTTTCAACTGACTTATAAGGTTGTTTAACATACTTAGATTCCATACAAATTTTACATTTTGATTTGTCGCATTCTAACTTAGGCAAGACTTCCAAATTAATCATTTTCCCAAGGTTTTATAATTGACATGTCCCAAATGTATATGCCATAAATCATTTGACTCAAGTAAGTAGGAAGAAGCTGAAATTTTATTATTGTCAACAACTATTACTTTCAGCGTAAAAATCCCTCAGTAAGGTAACTTTTTCCTAAGTATATCTCGTTCTTACTTATTACAACTTTGTCTGAAACAAAATACACTTAAACTCGTTCTTGACGAGAAGTGAAATAGAAACTAAGTTCTTCCGTATTTCAGAAACATGACAAACGTTGTTTAGAGTCACCACCTTGCCAAAGGTCATCTTCAGGAATATCTTTCCATAACCTTTGATTTTGGTTGTTGCAGAATTTCCCATAAAAGTGGTCTTGTCGGGTCCAACGGGAGCATATGAAGCAAATGCTTCTCTAACAGCACAAACATAATGGGTGGCTCCAGAATCAATCCACCACTTCTTATAATGTCCCACTGAGTTGTATTCAGACAACATGGCGCACAAGTTATCAATATCATCATTTGTTTCAACCATATTTGCTTGACCCTTTGTCTTCTCTTTTTTTGGAGCATGACATTCTGTAGCTTTGTGTCCAACCTTTCCACAGTTGTGGCAATTTTCCTTGAATTTCTTCTTGTTGGAATAGTTGTTTGGTCCAAAAGAGTTCTTCCACTTCTTCGGATTAGTTGGAGCAGTTTCAACAATATTTGTTCCCATAATTGTTGAGTTCCCACATGTCTTCTTTTCTACAGCTTTATTGTCCTCTTCGATCCTCAATCGAATGATGAGATCTTCGAGTTTCATCTCCTTGCACTTGTGTTTCAAGTAGTACTTAAAGTCCCTCCATAACGGAGGAAACTTCTCAGTCATTTCTGCAACTTGAAATGCCTCATTGATGACCAAACCTTCGATGAAAAATTCGTAATTAGTAACAAAATTAATACTTTCAACAAAAGCACTAATTCAAATTATACCTTCAGCAAGGAGATCATGAATTATAACTTGCAGCTCTTGAACTTGGGTAATGATAGGCTTGATGTCTACCATCTTATAGTCCAAAAACTTGGTTGCAACAAACTTCTTTAAACCAGCATCCTCGGTTTTATATTTTTTTCCAACGCATCCCATAGTTATTTAGAAGTTTTTGCATTACTATAAACGTTATAAACATCATCCTCCAATCCGCTAAGAATGTAATTCTTGCACAAAAAATCTGAGTGCTTCCATGCCTCGGTCACAATAAAACATTCATTATCAGGAGTTGATTCCGGCAGAACTGGAACGTCCTTCTTGATGAACTTCTATAGACTCAAAGTAGTCAAATAGAATAACACCTTCTGTTGCCAACGTTTGAAATCAATCCCGAAAAATTTTTCGGGCTTTCCGCCGGAGCCGGTGGTGGCACAGAACGAATGGAAGTAGCAACATTTCTCGTAGAGCCAATCATGGGGGTTATTGTTTCTGTTATTTTGTTAACAACAAAACAGAAATAAAATTAATTAACAGTGAAGTATTTAAAATCTTCAAACCGAATAAATTTAACGTAAACAAATTAAATACCACGGTGAAGATTTTATTTCTTCAAACAGAATACAGAACGAGTAGAAAATCACAATGATTTTAATCTCGTAATATCAACCAAGGAGTAGAAAATCCGAAGATTTTAGTCTTCAAACTGAGAGTAGAAATCTCTAGGATTTAGTCTCCCACAAACAGAATATAAAATAAATACAGAAAAATAATTAAGTTCCTTAAGCTTGTTAATAATCTGTATTCGAAAATATATTCAAAAAGAGAATAGAAACAATATAAAAACAGAAATGTAGAAGAACAGAATTAATCCGAGCCCACTAAATTCAAAGTGTTTCCTTAAGGAACTTAATCCTCTCCTAGTACTCAAAGTTTAGGATTATTTCCTCCCAGGATAGAATGGATAACCTCACTAGTGTAGCGGTACTTTAAACTCTAATGACAATGAACGTAAAGAACAATAGTCAATCACACTTATTGCTTTCTTTTCTTTTAAAATAATACATAAAGAAGAAGGATAAATCCGAATTTTTGTAAGAAAAATGTGAGGGAATAGTCTGTTATTTATAGCCAACATGTTGAGTTTAAACGAAGAGGTGCAACTCTTCAGAATGTCTGTTATGGCTGTTCACGTAAAATGGCCATTACATAAATGGCTACTTATGTAAAATAAAACAGGAAATCAAAACGCAAAGAAAAAATAATTTACCATAATCTGAAGCCAAAGCCGAGCGAGCGACGACGACGGCGCGATGTTGCCTTCTTCTTAACGCTTTAAGAGCTAGAAGAAGAGCAATTGTATATATACCCATCAAAAGTTTTTTTCTCCTCTAATATGGGACAATGTCCCTTTGTCAAGGAGGGAAAATAAAATTTTTATTTTTCTTTTATTTTTCATTCACCCTCTTTTAAGGTCTAAGAAGCTTAAACCCAACAATCCATAACATTAGTTTTTAATAGCTAGTGTGTCAAAGCATGATTTCTTCGTCTACAAGAAGGGCTATTTTTAATTGCAAGAAATATTTAAAATATGATGAATTGTCCGATACTCAATTAACGAGTGCAAAACACAACACGAAATTGATGCTCGCTAGCCAAAGATAGTATAGTTAAATTATCGTCTCCACAAGGATTGAATTTAAACAATGCTCTAGTAATTTTGAACTCCCGTATTGATATGATGGAAAGATGATGAAATCCTGTGTCTTGTAGCATCCAATTCTCTACAAAAGCTCCCAAGGTCAAAAGTACTTTAAAAATCGTATTTTTGATTTATTTATACCATGTAGGAATGGGCTCGAATAAAACTACTCTTTTCAAGCCAAAGTGGGACAATTGGATCGCGAAAATGGTGCGCCGCCCCATGCGCCGCATTAGTGAGGATTTTCGGAGAGTTGATCTTTTTTACTCTGTAGGAATTTTGCACTAGCTCCGCACGTCCCGCGGCACATGACACGGCGCAATAGTGCATTTTTCTTAGAGTAATCTCTTTTTCTCACATTTTTTTACATCCTGACTTGGTCATCGAACCCTGAATGTGATCCTGATTTAATTTCTTGGGCTTCTACTCAAACTTCAAAGCTCCAAATAATCAATTTTATCTCCAAACTCACTTCTTCACTCGAAATCACATCCTACACAATATAACATACGTAATAAATACAAAGTACTAACATTTAGGCTCAAATACAATGAAAGTATAATATTAGAGTGCAAAATGTAGCTAAAACACGATTTTCTTGCCTATCATCATCAATCTACCATTTTATTTTGGAAACTCATGGACTTTGGAGAGTACAATAGCCTTATGGTTAGAACCATCAGATGATCACTCATAACTATTAGTGGCCCCAACTTGAAATGTAATGTGAAGTTTGAAAGTTGAAGACACTAGGTAAAGCGTAATACAAGTTAACAACATGAGAGCTGGAGCATCGACATGTACCCATTATAAATTCTTCAGATGAGGCTAATTATACTTCTTCACCTCATCTTATAGTTAGATAAATACAATAATATTGTCTCACCCTCACTCACAGCAAGGAAGACACTCCCTCTCTCTTTAATCTGACCAACAATAAATCTCTCTCCTTCCTCAAACTGCATGCCTTGCTCCTTCGAATTCCCCCCCTCCCCCAAAAATCAGAATATTATACCTTTGTATTTTGGTATTTGTTTTGCTAAGAAGTTGACTAAAATCCCAAACTTATTTGTTTTTACAATTCCACATGTACTCAATTTTTAAAAAGTTGTGCTTAAATTCAAATTTTGTCATTACATTAAAGAATCTGGTAAGCTATCTACACATGACAAATCTCTTAAATCACAATATGCAATCTATGCTCGGAACATGCCAAGGAAATGAAAGAATCAATTTTTCACTCAAACAAGTTCTCTCAATACAACTTAGAAGCTTCTAGAATAACTAACTTAAATGCAGTAATTATGTTTAACATTGAGCGTGATAGCAAAAGCTCTAGCAGAAAAAATAGCTGCATTAGCAGCTCTAGCAATGAGTTTTCACATCCTCCTCCTCTTTTTCTAATTTTCCATTAGACCCCACACTACCACCAGAAGAAGCAACAAACCCACATGCGCCTTCGGATGAGACAACCAAATTCTTTGCTCTTGAGAAATGTACCATTCAGCTTAACTTTTTTGTGTTTATTCCCCATTTTCTCTTAAGCATTTCCTCTCCGTCCACTATATAGTTAAAATAAATACTTTATTTTCTAACTATGTTCATTGTTCTCTATTCCAGTTAGAAGAAAAGAATTAAGGGACTGGACTCCTTGTAGGTTTTACAGAGAATGAAGAATAGAAAAATCTGATTTACTAGCAATTAAACAAGTTAAACATGAGGTTGAAGAACTTTAAAAGAAAATCAGGAATCTGATAATGAAAGCAAACATACTTATTCATTAGAAACTTTAGACAAATTTATAGAGTTTACAAACTCAACTGAAAATAAAGGTTCTTACATATAATTTCTGAATTTATTCAGAAGTAATTCGTGAGATCATGCACCTCTCTTTCCTAGTTATAACGGAAAAGGGTACAACTGGGTGGTCTAGCCTATTCTTGAATAAGCAACTCGCACACATTCCCTTTCCAAAAAAATCAATACACCAAGCACTACACTTAGATTTATTGGATTTATTGCTAAAATATCGGTATTAAACCTAAAACTCCCGGCAGATGGCCAATGGCCCAAAGAAATGAAAGAATCCCTTTTATTGGTTATTGGAACACTCACACTTACTAAAAAGAGTTTCCCTTGGTCTATGAACGGGAAGGATGAAAGCGAGTCAGTATGCTAATTCCTCATCCGCAAATCAGCCCTTCCCGTAGGTTCTTTTCTCAAAGAATAAAGAATTGGAGGAGGGAAATATTGATAGAATTTGAAAAATCAAATGACAAGTCGAAGGCAATAAAATATGAAAAATAAATAGATTAAACAAAAGGATTCTCAAATAAAAGTGCTAATTCTACAACTAGTCCATAAATTGTTAAAGCTTTCATAAATGCAAGACTAAGCAATACCGTACCTCGTATTTTTCCCTCTCCCTCGGGCTGTCTCGCGATACCCTCTACATGTAGCAGTCCCTTGACCAACTCCGGGTCCAATAGAAGCAAGCCCTACAGCCAATCCAGCAACAATAACGGAAGCGGTAGAAATTTGTGGATTCATGATGAGTTCCCCGTACCAAAAAAAAAGAAATGGTTAATGATACAATCAACCAGTGAGTTATGAATTAATTATTCCCTCGCTAGGACTCATCTACTCGAAGTAATTAAGAACTTCGGATTGAAGTAATAAGATTATTAAACTATCAGAACTCATTCGATGTATCTTTTTTTACTTTTTAGCCACAGAGTCTTTATGAACCCATACGACTTTCATTCTTCCATTTCTTGGTTCGAACTGTTAGTTGAATTATTTCTTGATTTCATCCATTTATTCATTCAATTCATAGTCACAAGGGGCCAAAAGTACTTCTAGTCTATTAGAATCCCCTAGAGTAGTAAAATATATCTTTAGCTAATTTCATATATAACTAGCACTAGTCAATATCTAATATAACTAACTCCTACAAATTAGGGATAACATAGAAACTAAACAATTGTTATGCAGTAAATAACTGCTACACAGTTTTAAGGTACTTGAACTGCTGCAGTTTTTAATGCAATTTTCTAACTCTCATCCTTGCTTTAAGAGATGCAAACTCCAAGTTTTTGCCTAAGGAGCTCAAATTTCTTGGCTGGTAAAGACTTGGTGAAGATATCCGCAAGTTGCTCCTTAGTCTTGCAATACAATAGAGTGACATCACTGTTCTTTTGCACATCTCTCAAGAAGAAAAACTTGATGTTCAAGTGTTTATTTTTTCCATGAAATACAGGATTGTGAGAAATTGCTATCGCAGCTTGGTTGTCCACCAATATTTTTCTCAACCACAATGCTTGATTCGTTGCTGATGTTGTAGCCACAAACTCTGCCTCTGCAGTAGATTGAGCAACAATGTCCTGCTTATTTGAATACCAAGAAAAAATTCTTGAGCCAAGACTGAAGCAATACCCCGATGTGCTTTTCATGTCATCCACGGATCCAACCCAATCACTATCAGAATACCCAAGTAGTTTTAGATTTTGACTCTTCTGAAACTTGACACCATAATTAATGGTCCCTTTGATGTATCTGATAAATCTCTTGGCTGCTTTTAGATGCACCTCACTAGCATAATGCATGAACCACGATAAAATGCATACTACATAAAGAATATCGGGTTGTGTAGCTGTGAGTTATATCAAACAACCCATTAAGCCTCTAAAGTATGCTTCCTCCACTATATCTGCTCCATTATTTTTGCTTAGTTTCTCTTTTTGGTTCAGAGGAGCGCTCATCTCCTTGCAATCTTCCATTTTCAATTTCTTCAGAATCTCCTTGGCATACTTCTTGTGACAAATGAAAACTTCATTTTGTCCTTGCTTGATTTCCATTCCAAGAAAGCAGGACATCAAACCAAGGTCAATCATTTCGAAGGCTTGCATCATTTCTTGCTTGAAATTCTCGATATACCTTGTATTGTTCCCTGTAATTAGTACATCATCCACATAGACAGAAACAACAAGGATATCAATGCCATTATGTTTAACATAAAAAGTAGATTCTGATGGACTCTTTTCAAAGCCTGGGCCAAGAAAATGGTCATCTATTCGACCATACCAGGTCCTTGGTATCTGTTTAAGACCATAAAGTGCCTTTCTTAGCCGATAAACTTTGGCCTCTTTTCCTTTCATCGTAAAGACCTCAGGTTACTCCACATAAATTTTTTCCTAAAGAAAATCATTGAGAAATGCCAATTTGACATCCATCTCATACACTTTCCAGCCCAATTGTGCAGCAAGAGCAAGAAGTAAGTCAAACCTAGCAACTAGTGCAAATGTATCAAAGTAATCTACACCAAAAATTTGTGCATATTCTTTAACTACAAGTCTTGCTTTATGCTTGTTGACTGAACTATCACGATTGAGCTTGGTTCTAAAGACCCATTTCAACCCAATTACCATTCTGTCTTGAGGTTGATAAACAAGCTCTCAAGTCTTGTTCTTCTCAAGCATAAACAACTCTTCTTTCATTGCAGCTACCAAATCATTCTTGGCCTCACTGTATCCAGCAGGTTCACATACAACTACGTTGCATCGCTGATATATATCAGAGAGAAATCGAGTACATTGAACTGGTGAATGATCAACCATCTTATCCCACTATGAGGCTGATATTTGCTTTTCAGGAACCTTTCGTGTTGAGTCAAGAGAATTTAGGATAGGCTTCTTTGAGTCTTCCCAACACCACTTTGTCATGCCCTCTTTTTTCCCTCGTGGAAAAGTCCGGGTTTCGACATTCATGGGAGGTAATAACTCATTTTCTTTTGGGAATTGGGTATTTGAAGAGTCGCCACCTAACGAGTTATGGTGAGTTAGGGCACCTAGAGTGATTAACTCTTATATTGGTTTGCATTACCAGAGATTAGGGTAAGGGCTAGAAATGACCTCGAGGGGAAGGTGTTAGTCACCCCTCTTGGTCCACAACTATGGGTCTCGGCCGAACTTATATTTTCGAATTAGTCCATTAACAAATAAATAGTTGAATCAAATAATTTACAAGTAAAGCATGTTGGACGATGTATAAGTTCAAATAATAAGACAAAGGTTTTTGAACAAGTTGTGTACATAAAGAAAAGTTTAAAACAAAAGGAATTTGGGAAAGGAGGGGTCCTAAGTTGGTTAGCCTATATGATCACCCCACACAATGTCCAGTAAACACTCCTCCATAAGGGGATACACGTGACATTAGCGCGTAGTCATCATATCCCATATCTACCCTTCCCACCCCTTAGTGGTCATTAAAGCGAGTGTTGGTCAGCGATTTCTATTGCGGGCTGTTACCCGCCCCTTCTTAATGGTCCTAGAGGAATTTTAGGACCTCTACCTATAGGTAGTTCTAGACAGACCCCTAAGGTTTTAAAGGTGAAAATACTAAGGTGACAGGCAAGAACAATTAGGACCTTAGCACATAAGATAAAAGGGAGCAATTAGAGGCTCAAGTTTACCTCCTCAAACAATACACATAAGCAGTACGACTCAAGCACAAATAAGGGCCTTTTGTTAAATAGTATCCTAAGGCATGATGTCTCTATCAAGACACAGAAGATAGGCAGTTTATTTTATAAACTCGGAAGTAATGGCCCTATTAGTTTGCCTACTGATTTCTAAAGCCTGTTAAAAATCAGAACGACATTAAGTCACAGAAACAGTTTCAGAGTTATAGGATTTGGAAACGCCCTATAGGCTTGCCTACATGCGGAATAATGATAATTACATTTATATAGTAACAACAGGGTAGATTTTAAAATAGACTCTTGAATCCCTATAGGCATGCTGTCTAATGATAGATTAAGGCAGTTTTTGAAAGAAATCATTTCAGGGAAAATAAAACACTAATTAAACTAGTTTCGAAGTGAACCAATCGCTGTCTGGATTGACTTATTTAAATTAAACTGATTTTAGATATAGGCAGAGTTTTTGATGGTGTTCCCTATAGGCATGATATCTTGTTGTTTAAAACTGATTTTAGAAACTGGTAGGCATGATAACAAATGAAAGCACATATAAATATCTGTTATAACAGAAGTTGGACTAGATCATATTCTATAGGCATGATATCTACTTGTGAAGTTGATTTTAAGACCTATAACATGATTTTTATTATTGGAACCACTGGAGACCTTTAGGCATGATTTCTAACATAGCAAAATATAAAGTCTTATAGGCATGGCTTCTACTTGGTAAGGAAAACATAGCAAAATATAAAGTCCTATAGACATGGTTTCTACTTGGTAAGGAAATCATTGCAAAATATAAAGTCCTATAGGAATGGTTTCTACCCGTATTATCCCATAAACATGTAACTATCCACCCTTCTCACTAGTTGCCCCAATATTCATTTACAAATTATTATAGACCATATGAATGAATTACATAAGTAGATAAGAAAAATAAGAAGTTATTTTATAGGGAGCCTACAAATAGGCCCAGATCCAAAGCCTCCAATAGCCTCAAATGCCCAAATTCCATAGACAATGTCATTGTCTAGGTGCATTCGAGTTCCCTAAGGATCTCAAGGATCCCGAACAGTGCTCACACCTAGATTTGGTAACCAAATTGAGTAAGTGCAGTGTGGAAGTGCTAGCCTCAGTGTGCCAGAGTTGAGAGGGTTCTCAAGAGGATCCCAAAGCAGTACACACATTGGAGGGGGCAGAACCTAATGACTTAGGAGTAGAGTGAGAGTGCTTGACACAGTTTGAAAGGTTTTAGTGGGAAAACAGTATTAAAAAAAGGTTTGCTTGAAATAATTTAGTAAAACAACAGAGGAATTATTCAATGAGACAGTTTTAAAAAGAGTAGGGCAATCAACAAACAACAGACCAACCTCAAGACCAAAACAGGTTCAGCATCACACACAGAACAAAGAACCAAGACAGGTTTAGCACCACAAGCCTTCACACAGGGGTAAGTGGGAATTGGGGATAGGTAAAGCCCATAATGGTAAACACATAGCAGGCATAAGTCTTTGAAATTGGTACAAACATGCTCAGAAACACTGATCAGGCATAGTCACAGAATCAGCAATGCTCAAGGGGTTCAGTATAGGACCAACATGATTTAAAATCAATCCCAGAATCATATAAGTTTTGGAGTGCAGACTACTTTACAAGGAGATTCATACCAGAAACAAGATAGAGCAAGATCACATGGAGACAGACCACATAGAGGGGTAACATGTTCATACTGATCCTAATGAAGGGGAGCACATAACATGCTAATAATGTAAACATATTAACTACAGATTTCACAGCAAAACCATAAGTAAAAGCAAACTAGAAACGAGATGAATTGAAGTAATAAAAGGACCATATTATTTTTGGAACTTGAATTGAAATTAGAACATACCAATAAAGAAGGTAGTAAACACGAAGTGTGGAGCAAGAGAGTAGAGTAATCAACCTTGGCTTGCAGCCAGCTGACTTAGAACAATAGCAAGTAACTAGAGAAAAGAGGGCAGAAGAGATTTTTTGTGTGAGAGAGAGTTTTAAACCAATGTGTTCGTGTGTTAGTGTTAATGAAAGAGTGTGTATATATAGTAGTTCGAAACAAGGTAAAAATAAGGCAAGAATCACAATAGTATAGTAATTATGGAACTCAGAACCAATTAGAGAAAAATCAGGACAAGTACTCCCTTAAGTTAAGGGAATCAATTCAAACGGTAAGAACAAGTAACAAATAAGGAAAGAAATCAGTGTATGGCTAATAAGGAAAGATTTCAAATTCAGTAAGTATATGGTAAACAATTAGGGATAAGTTTAGAAAACTCTAATTAAGGAAATATTTAGTAAGAATAAAGTACCACAACAGATAAGGTAGGTGAATCAGTTAATTTGAATAGAAATGGTAGAAATTAAAGGTTTAAATGAAGGTCTTCCAATCAAACCATGAAATAGGGAATCCAGAATCAATCAAAGAGAAGGTCATGATTCAGTGTTCAGCATATAAATAGAGTAGTATAACCAAACGTAGCAAACATGAAAGTTAAATAGCACTGATAGAAAGAGGCAAGTCTTGAACAATCAAGATGAACATAAGCACATAAAGGTGATATAAGTTAGGCTAAAAACTCAGTAAGAACATATTCGAGGCAAGATAGTCACAAAAACTCAAACAAGAAACAAGCAGTCATGCTAATACACAGAACCAAACGAAGAAATCTAGAAAATTAGGCTTTCAACATAGGCGAGTTCAAAAGGTAGTAAAATCATAGAATCGGTCGAAGCATGCAAGAAATAGAGTTTTAAACAAAAAAAATCAGTTTAAACAAAGTTTTAAAAGAAGTTCTGAAACTCTAATTTTTAGAAGAAGGTGAAAACACTTGAAATCACATGATTCTCGTAAAGAGTTCCAAGGATAGTGCAAAACATCAAAGAAACAAACTCAAATCATTTTAAATTTGTACAGATCTAGGAGATGTAGGCAGAAATTAAGGTTTCAGAAGATGAAAGAACCTGTCTAGAATCCCAAGGATCGTAATAAATACGGCGTGATTTTGCTCGAAATCACAGCGTAGCCAAGAATAGACAAGTGACGAACCCTAGGTGCAAGTCGGCGTGGCCCTGGGCCCTTAAAGACCTTATTAGAAGGCAAGCATGGCATTAGAGAAGCCATTGAAGGCTTAGGAGTTGATGGGATATCACCGGAGAAGAGAGGTCAGCGGTTTGAAGGGCTAGGGTTTGGTTGAGTTACTGAGAGAGGAGAGGAGATGAGAGAATACAGAGGCGGCGAGTTTGGGAGAATGAATTATGGTTAGAGGTCATTTAGAGTTAAAAAGGCAAGATTTAATACGGGCCGTTGATCTCTCAGATCAACGGCTATAATTTAATGGGTTCTGGGTAGGGTAGGCAGGTTAGGGTTTTGTTCGGGTTTTAGCCTGAAATTAGGCAGGGTATTGGGTTTAATTGAGGCTATGATTGAAATGCAATATGACTATATTTTAAATAGCCAATTTATCCCTATATAATTTATAATAAATAATAGATAATTTTTGTATACTAAAATGATTTAAAATAGATATTTAATATTTTAAAAATATAGAAGATCAATTTTGTGCATATAAATGTAATGATACATTAATAAGGCTAGTATTGCAATTATATGCAATTTAACTTTAAAAATACAAAATGCAATTG